TTTTAGAGCACCCTAAGATGAAGTTTATTTTAAAAGGAACAACAACCAACAATAACACCAGCTCCATTGGGGTTGTCCAGACTGTATCATTATCATCTCCTTGGATTGTGAGTGTTGATTTTTATAACACAGTTTGGAAAGTGGTAATTTAGAATATTAATGTCTTTAATTTTACTTTTCATTCTATGAACATAACTAGCTTATAAACAATTTTGTTCCTAATGCACTCGGTTTTAGCTAATTCAATTGTCAGTAACTTTTACTTTAATTAAAAAATGACAAGTTTACACTCATAATGTCACTTTCCTCTCTCACTTTTAATGATAGTTGCGATAAAATTGTGTTTCAGCAAAAAGTGGACTCAAACTCTGTCTCAAGTGCAGGGCTTTGGGACCTATTGAGTAATCACTAAATGTCTGTCTTCAGCCAGGTCTATAAATTCTTGCGAAAAAAAAAATCACTCTACTTTGGCTAGAGTCCCTGGCTTCTTTTGAATTCAAAATATTTTGATATGTTAGTATATAATTCAAAAGTAGTTTTAAGGATTAATCTTGCTCAAACAAATTAATTTCATGCTTTTATCTTCATTATTCTAATTTTTAGAAGTCCACTTTTGGAAGTAAAGTAAGTTTTAATTTGCCATCAGCAAATTTGAGAAGTGATCATTTGGTATATTGACTATTGATGAAATGAAGGTTTATCAAGCAAATTAATAGGGCAAAATGCCTTCAAGAAAAGATTCAGAAAAATGTTTATCACGGGTTAGTAGTGCATTGTTGTCAGTGGGACAGGTGGAACTCACTGGGATAAGTTATGCCAGGTTTTTTCCAAATATATGTCTGCAAACCCATGTATGTTTCCACCTCCACCTTCCCTCTATCTCTAGGCACTGAGAAGCCTTTTAGGAAAAGAGGGATGGATGTGAGGCATCTTTATTATTATTATTATTATTATTATTTATTTTTATTTTTAGAGACGGAGTCTCACTCTGTCGTCCAGGCTGGAGTGCAGTGGCGCGATCTTGGCTCACTGCAATCTCCGCCTCCTGGGTTCTAGCAATTCTCCTGCCTCAGTGTCCTGAGTAGCTGGGACTACAGGTGCACACTGCCTTGCCAGGCTAACTAGCGATGGGGTTTCACCGTATTGCCCAGGCTGGTCTTGAACTCCTGAGCTCAGGCAATCCACCTGGTGAGGCATCTTTATATGGAGGAAAGCATCCCAGAAGATTCTGATTTTAATCCCAACTCAATCATTCCCAAACTTTGCTGTGCATTGAAATCACCTGGGAAGCTTTTAACACCAACCCTGTGCCCAAGGTCATACCCAATGCTAATGAAATCAAAATGTCTCATGTTGAAAGTGAGGCAGTGACTAAAGCTCCTCAGGTGATTTTAATGTGCAGCAATGTTTGAGAGCCACTGCCTAATTTGAGTTTAGGATGACAAACTGCTCCTATTTGGTGGGACCTTGGGTAAGTCAGTTTTAAGGTTGTTACCATTATCTGTAAAATGAGTGTGGATTTGTGGATTAAATGTCATGTAAGGTCATGGGTCCTTTTCACTATGTAACATCAAATTCTTTGTTTTTAAAGTTATTTCAGAGATGAAAAGTACTTGAAGTACTATAGACATATCCATCTTAAATGTTACAGGCTTTTTAAAAAGCGCTAATATTGTATAGACTTACTATTGAAATTCAGATTTGTCTTCCCTCAATTATTTTGAGCCTCATTCTAGATGCCGAGGGCAAATGGAAGCACATAACTTATGTAAGAGAACCTCTTGTTTTCTGATACAAAGCATCTGTGGATAACTTAGGGATACAGTAACATATCTGAAGAGTTGTATCTGTTCAGAAATATTTCACTTCAACTAATTGAAAGTACCTGCCATTAATATTACACTGTGTAGTGTTATACTGCTTTGTTAGCACTGCTTATTGTAGGATCACTGTACCTATCATTGATCTCATGTGTACTTATGTTTACTAATACATGCCAGTTCCGACCTGCAGACCCTGGCTGAATGATGGATGAAGGAATGCACTCAGACACAGGTATCCACTGAACGAGCGGGCTAGGAGACTGGGCCACTCACAGACACTGAGGAGGGTGCTGTAAAGAGTCAGCAGCCATGGCCCTGACAAGCTGGCACTACTGGCATTTATTCAGCACAGATTTAATGACAAAGGCTTTGAGTCAACACACTTGTGGATAATTAGCATGGTCACCCTCCCAGGAGAGAGCAGTCCTGCATGCAAATAATCAAAGGTCAGTCTTAGGACAACATGAGAAAACAAGCTATTTAGATAAACTCCTCTACCTTCCCTTGTTATTTGCTTTTTACTGTTAACTCAAGGTAAGAGGATCAGGCTGCCTTCAGCCATAACCCTTTCCTAAAGCTTTTGCAAAAACTTCTGGCCTTCCAAGAAGGTTTGCATTTTTCCTATAATTTTCTCTTATAATTTCTCCCATCACCCTGACCGAACTCCTACAAATACATTTACTAATTATTATGCAAAAGTGATTTCAAATACTTTGATTTGTTATAAGGTACTTTTATTATGTATTTTTAGGGAAATAATAAAAAATGGTGTTTAGGAGATAGTGAAAAACTAAAATGCAGGGCCTAACATCTTAGAAAACATTACTGTATGGCTTAAATTTAAGCATATGTACACATAGATATAAATTACATGAGTGGGCATGGCGGGTCATGCCTATAATCCCAGCACTTTGGGAGACTGAGGCAGTTCGATCACTTGAGGCCAGGAGTTTGAGACCAACCTGGCTGTCATGGTGAAACCTTGTCTCTACTGAAAATACAAAAATTAACTGGGTGTGATGGTGCAAGTCTGCAGTCCCAGCTACTTGGGAGGCCGAGGCATGAGAATTGCTTGAACCTGGGAGACAGAGGTTGCGGTGAGTTGCGATTGTGCCACTGCACTCCAGCCTGGTCAACAGAGTGATTCTGTCTCAAAAAATAAATAAATAAACAAAATAAACTGCATGGCATGAAAGGTTTTGTAGGCAGAAGAACATATAACAGGGAAATATATTACTGTTTATATATTATAATCATCAACAAAAACACGTCTTCTAACAGCATATTGCCTAGCATTTTGGTTCTCATATTTTTACTAAAGCCAAAAAACTAAAACAGGAAAGTGCCCTCATGATACTGTTCTGAACTAGAAGATTTTAATTTCAGGGCCACTAGGAGAGTTCTAAAAAACTCGCCACTTAAAAAAATGTCTTCAGGCCTAACAAATGATAACATCTATTGTTATGAATACTTTTTCTTTCCACAGTGTCACCATAGCAATACACTATTACATCAGATACAGGTGACCTTTTTAAAAAACCTGTCTTGTTATTCCAGCTAATTACTTTGCATGATATCAAGCTCAGTGTTAGGTCACAGCTATAGACATCATCAACTGTATTGTGCCTACTAACATATTGAAGCAAATTATTTGTATTTTCTGTGGTCCTTAAGACTTTTAATTTTTAAATTATTGGGAAACCCAAAGAGTATGTGTTTATATTGATTATATTGATATTTATTGTGTGAGAAATATAAAATTGACTTTTTTCCAAAATCTATTTTTGGTTTAGATTTCATAAGCTTACCACTATTGATATTATGAGCTACATAACGCTTTGTTGTGACGACTGTCCTTTTCATTGCAAAAAGTTTAACAGCACTGATGGCCTTTACCAACTAGATGTCAGCAGTAACCCATAACCCAGGTTGTGACAACAGAAAATATTCCTTGGGAATGATATTGCTAACATAATTTTTAAAGGTAAAATTACTTTTCTTTAAAAGTTGAGTAAAAAGTGTGTCATGTATTTATATTATTGAAAATCTCTAACGTTGAGCTTAATAGAAGACAGCTGAATTCTCTTTCTTGGCAATTTGTTTCAAAGAAACAATAAGATGATTTGGCCTTGTGCAAATATGTAGTTGATAAAAGGTGTATTTTTAATCCTTTCAGACAGTTGTGGGTATTCTTTAATATTAAATCAAAACTTTACAAGTGCTAGTTTCTTAGAGTGGCATTTTACATATTAATAAATGTATTCCATCAATGTTCACTGATCTTTCTTGCACAATAAGTGAATCTTTCCTTCCATACTTGCTTTTATAATAGTATGCATAACTTATTTGGAAAATATTGGTTTATGTTTTATTGTGTCAAAAACTCACTTTTGTTAATATAACCACCAATCTTATTTTAAAAAGTCTAAGTATTGAGAAACTGTCGTGCTTACGGTTGAAGGAACAAGTTTTTCAAAGTCCTCATGAAAGCTTAAATTTTATCATTGGGAACAAAGACTTATTTTCCTTGAAGTGACAGCCTCATTTTGTTTTTGAGAATGATAGTTGTACTTTTTTTTTAGACCAAGTCTCACTCTCTCCCTTGGCTAGAGTGCATTGGCATGATCTCAGGTCACTGCAACCTCTGTCTCCTGGGCTCAAGCAATCCTCTTGCCTCAGCCTCCCGAGTAACTGGGACCACAAACGTGTGGCACCATGCCTGGCTAGTTTTTTTTTTTTTTATTTTTGGTAGAGACAGGGTTTCATCATGTTGCCCAGGCTGGTCTTGAACTCCTGAGCTCAAGCAATCTGCCTGCCTTAGCCTCCCAAAGTGCTGGAATTTTACAGGCATGAGCCACTGTGCTGGCCCAGTTGTACTTTTAAATAAAAATGATGTTCCATGAAAAAAGTGATTATTCAGTTCACAATTAAATCAAATTCTTTTTTTAAATGCAACCGTACTGTAGTAAGCAGAAGTGCTTCTTGTTAACTTTCCACTTGTTTAGAAAATTAAAAAGAAATGTTAAGATTTAATAACACCATTAATTTTTACTGCTTCATCAAAGACATTCTTAAGAAATTCAGCTGCGCAAGGATGACACGCAAATTCATGAAGCGTTCCATATTTTTAAAAAAAGAAAGAAAAAAAAGAAATTCGGCTATCTTTTTTTTTTTTTGTTAGCTGTAAGGGACAGTACAGAATAGAATGACTACTAGTGTAGTTTGGTACCACTGCCTTGATTTATGCTGAGAAACCAGCAGTTTTACACACTTTTGCTTTTATACAGTCATGGCAGTATCAGTGAAAAAGCAGGCAATGTCTTTGTATTACTTTCACAATTTAAAAAAAGTTTTCTATTAGGTTTTTCAGGGTGAATTAATATTATTATCAGAACAGTTTTGACATCTTAGGCTTTAGGAAAAAGGTCTTGGGGATCCCAGAGGTCCACAGAGCACATTTGGAGAACCACTGGTTTATCAAATAGGCATGATGCATTAGTTTTACGAAGCTTAAAGCTCATCAAAGACTGGCTTCTTTTACAATAAAAAGGCAGATGAGCTTTTAATTCAAACTACTAGAAATAAATAAATACTTCATGAGAATATGCTACAGAAATCTAAGGAGAAAGCAAGCTAGGAAATCCGAATCACATTCACATTTATTAAAGTTCTAAAGACTTTATTGCCCACCACTACTGCTTTATAAAACGTTCTTGTGTTTCAATGTATGGTTAGAAGAGTGAAAAGAGATTTGGTTTACTTACTTCTTTAGCATCCAGTTAGAGTTGAGGGGAGAAGGCTCCAGCTGTGCACTAGAATCAAAGCCCTCAATGGGCACTGGACCAGATACAGGCCATTTTCCAACAGCTGCAAGTCATTTGGAATGCTAAGCACATGCTGGAGGGAAGCAGGAGTGGTGCTTCCAGATGCAGAGAGATAGATGATGCTGGAGGGAAAGCTGGATTGGAAAAGGGAGAGTTTTGAACATGGACATGCCTTTAGTCCTAGCTACCTGGGAGGCTGAGATGGAGGAATTACTTGAGCCCAGAAGTTTGAGTTCAGCCTGGGCCATATGATGAGACCCGGTATCTTAAGAAAATATAAAATAAGGCTAGGTACAATGTCTTACACCTGTAAACCTAGCACTTTGGGAGCCCAAGGTGAGAGGATTACTTGAGTGTAGGAGTTCAAGACCAGCCTGGGCAATAAAATGAGACCCCATTTCTACTAAAAAAAAAAAAAAAGAAAAGAAATCAAGAAATTAGCTGAGCATAGTGGCACATGCCTGTGGCCTCAGGTACATTGTAGGCTGAGGCAGGAAGATCACTTAAGCCCAGGAGGTGGAGGCTACAGTGAGCTGTGTTCATGTCATCGCACTCCAGCCTGGGCAACAGAGTGAGACCCTATCTCAGAAAAAGATAAAGTGAACCGAAAATGGGCCTGTAAGGACTGTGGTCATTGAAGGGACAAGCTGCCAGAGGAGTGGCTATGAGAGCAGGAGGAAGAAAAGCAGGAGAGGATGATAAAAGGAGAAGAGTTCAAGATAGGAGAGGCTGTGGTCACAGAGGTAAATGCGGCTAAGAAGTGACTTATTTCATGAACACTCACTGGATACTGACTCTCTTCCAAGTGCCGGGGTAGAGGAGAGCACACGTGGATCACAGTTCTTGCTTTTATGAGCTTATGTTCTAGTAAGAACGAACTTAACTATTTTTTCAGGTAGTATCAAAGAGCGGGATAAAGGGACACACAGTGATTGGGGGCTATTTTAGGTGGAATGATAAGGAAGAGCCTCTCTGGAGAGCTGACATTTGAACAGTGACCGGACTGAAGCAAGGACGGGAAACAGTGCTGTCTTTACAGGCAAAAAGGTGACTGCCAAGACAGAAATGCGTTTCATGTGTGTTTGAGGAAACAACAGCAAGGTGACCAGCACGGTCAGAGTAAAGAATGAGGGGAACAGCAGAGATGAGGCCCCACAGGTGGTGCCATAGCTCATAGGGCCCTTTGGCTTGCAGGCCACAGGAAGAAATTAAGGTTTTACTCAAACTCAGTTTGATGGGAAATTCATGGTAGATCTCGAGCAGGGGAGTGCCATGCTTTAAATGAAGAGGTTATGCTGACTGCTTTGGGGACTACAGGCCATAGTGGAGAGGCAGAGTAGAGGCAGAGAAGAGGGTTAAGCAGCAGCTAGGGTAATACAGGTGAGCAGTGACAGATTATGGCTCATGATCAGACCAGGCCGACCATCAATGAAGGTAGACATAACAGGCATTGCACACAGATAGGAGCAGGGTAACTGAAATGCAGGTAGTTGGCCCCAGCACCGAGGCAAATGCCAATGTATGAAGAGCTCCAGTTTGTCAGCATGATGGCACCAGAGGCCTTGGCAGGAGGAGCCTTGAGAGTCATGTCAGCAGGGCAGGCAGTGGAGGTGAAGGAGAGATGGAAGCTGAGGAGCTGGCATGAGGGCATGGTGCTGTGACACCAGTGAGAGGACACACTTAGAGCGTAGTGGGGAGTGGGATGGGAACAAAGGAAACACAATTTGGGGGAATCTCTGGTAGACACAGGAAGAAAATCTTCAGAAAGGGGTGATTGTGGGAACAGTGTTCTGCAAAAGTGAGACGGGATCAACTGCACTGAGGGAAGAGTTGGCATCAGTGGGAATAAAGAATTCTGTCTCAAACTGACTCAGAAGAGCACATGGCATGGATGAGTGTCAGCAGGTCAGCAGCTTAGCAGGAAAGGGGACGGGAAGCAGAGGGCTTGCTAATATTGTTCCAGTGCTCTCTGATTCCTGTACCATTGATCCCAGAAAGGGAGGTTCATTCTTGAAATACTTGAGCCAGATGTGGTGGCTCATGCCTGTAATCCCAGCACTTTGGGAGGCCAAGGCAGGCAGATCACCTGAGGTTGGGAGTTCGAGACCAGCCTGACCAACATGGAGAAACCCCGTCTCTACTAAAAATACAGAATTAGCCGGGTGTAGTGGCACATGCCTGTAATCCCAGCTACTCGGGAGGCTGAGGCAGGAGAATCGCTTGAACCTGCTAGGCGGAGGTTGCGGTGAGCTGAGATCGGGCCATTGCACTCCAGCCTGGGCAACAAGAGTGAAACAGCATCTCAAAACAACAACAACAACAACAATGAAACAAAGCAAAACAAAAAAATAATACTTGAGAGCACAGAGTTTGGGAGAAAGGGAGCAGAATCTCTGTAAAATGTGATGTTCAATCACCATTTGTTTTTGAAAACATATTTGAGTTTGGTAGCTTAGATCTGGCAATGTTCTCCCATCTGATAACCACCAGACAAGAAATGAACTTGCTTAAAATAAGCTTTTTTCCTTTCATTTTGACTTAAAGAGTTCAAGTAGCTCATGGATATACGCTTCTGCAGAGCACCCTCTGAGGTAACAACACCTCGCAGCTCACCTTTAATCTTTACTCAGCCGTTCATTTTGCTCAGTTCTTTGTAGGATAGATGTTTGATAGATGTAAAGTAATTCATGAGATTGTCTCACAAACTGCTTGGCAGGTTTAGAGGAATCCCAGGGTACAGAGACTGGCAGCTGTGTCCACCTTAAAACCAACAGAATTGTGTCAGTTGCAGATGATGTAAGACAGAGCAATGTTTATGATGTGATCATGAAGATGTGAGAAATAGGGGCTGTGAGAAGGACCATTCTTTATATATATGTGTTCCTTATCAAGCCAGCAACTGACTATGGGGAATGTTTTACAGCCCCAGAGACCTGTGCCTGCCGTGCTGCTCTGCACAGCAGCCACTGGGAGGCTCTCTTGACCAGCAGTTTTTTAAGCTCGTGCCCTATATAGAAGGGTTTTTGTGAAAAGATCAACATTTGCTCACTATCACATGGGTTGAACATATTCAAGCTTGACGTACTTGTAAAGTTCCCATCTGCCTACCCACTAGGCTGAGACATTACATGTGGTAGGTACTTGAGGATTTACTGAATGACTTTAATTCACACTGGGCCCGTGTGTGTGCTCCCCTTAATGAGCGTGAGGGTGACAACACTGCCTCTTTTCATGATGTCCTTGGCTGAGAGGTACCGTCATTCTTGTGACCAAAATTGGCCTGTACATTTCTATGGGCAGAGTAGGTAGCAGAAGTATTTGACCTATGATTGTGATTCGGCTTCTTGCTCTGCCTGATCAAGCAAAGTCTCTGGAGAACATAAGAATAAAAGGCAGGTACTTTCTGGTCAAAATCAGAAGAAACTTGTCATTCCTGAGAGTTCTTACTACAGCACTCAAACTAAGCTGAATCAAAGGCCAGTGCTCTATTTTGCAGATTTACATAGAAAGACTTGTAAGTTATGCTGATACCGACATTTGTCCAGCCAACTGGAAGAGGATCGTCTTGTCAGCCATTTCTCTTACTCTGGAGCGATGACCAGGAGGTTGCTGGGAGTGTGAAAAACCGCAGGCTCTCTGAGAACATTTCATCTGATGACATGTAAGTTTGTAAGGCTTCTGTGAACTTTCTGATCATTTTTCAATACTTCTTTTGCTCCCCTAAACTTAACACTTTAAGAAAGTTTTAAAGGTTACATTGTGCAGATGATGGAAATGGACATAAAACCCACATCTTTCTATCAGCTTTAGAATAACAGTTCATATTTTTCATCGTTCATTGGTAGGTCTTGGTAAATTGCTCTTATAATAATCTGCTCATAAATTGAAAAGTATTTTTCTGGTGATTTTTGGCAATTATCTTCCAAGTATACTACCAGAACATCATAGTACAGTAAATATCTTTATGGCTTTCTAGGGGCTGTCTGCAAGTTCCGGTCTCTCTTTAAGGAGCACATGTCTGGCCTTTGAAATAATTGGCCACTGACAGGTCTAGGGCCTCCAGACTGTGAAAAATGTACAGCTTCACCCTGAGTCATACATTGTGTATTTGCTCTTGCCGGTATTCCCCCTGCCTTTATCTGGAGATCTGCTTTATAGAAACCTTGACATACAGAATAACCACAGATCCTTGTGCCCCTGTCCCCTCCCCTAGGAGTGTTGCCTGTGTTTAGAGATCAGGCTGATGAGTTAGAAGCTCTCCACAGGCAGTCTGAGAAACATTGCATTGCTGGACATCACCCAATGCTCACCTCACTCAAGGGCTTCCTAGGGCACTCATATGACCACGACAGCCCTTTGGGGTCCTTGAGTTACCTATGAGAGTGCAGGAAATCTTGCTGAGTCATGGGGTTGCTCACAGATATCACCAACTAGACACAGAAGCATGAGCTTCATGGGGTCTTTCTTCCAGTCTGGCCTCAGGACTGCTGTAAAGGGAAGGGCCTTGGAGCTGGCAGGCAGGGTGAGCCAGGGAGGCATTTTTAGCAAAGGCTCTCAGAGTGCCCACTGGACAGTGAGAATGGCTTTGTGGGTGCCGCTTAGGAAAATATGAAGGAACATCTTATATGAAGATCAAGATCATGACAGGCAGTGGCACGAGGTTTTGTTTGTTTGTTTGTTGTACATTTGCCTGTAGGTAAAACTGTCGTTGAGAATGTATGTAGCCACAGAAGTGGAGCCTGATGGCTGAGTAGACATCTCTGCCAGTTGTGCTCGTCACAGGAATAGCCTCGGCAGAGGACCTGTGGCGAGGAGAGAGTCTGCATGTTTGGTGGAGGGAGAGCACAGCAGCTGTGGGACTTTGCCCTGAACACGGTGCCGCCTTGTTGTAGCAGAAAGCAAAGCAAGGCTGCACTCATCCAATGCTCACCTACAGAGGAAACATTTAGACTAGTGCTAGCCCGAAGGGAATTGTTTATCCCAGTGGTTGGAACTTGATAAAGTTGATAAAGTTGTGGAAAGCCTGGCTACTGCAGGATAAAGTACTCTTGGTCCTTAATAAACCTGAAAGGCTGTCTAGGCCACAAGGACTGCAACTCTTAGGCAAGTCCTAGTGCTGTGCTGCGCTTGGAGCCAGTGTATTTGGGGGCATGTGACCTAGAGAGACAGCAGCTGGGGCAGCTATGGAGTGCTTGCCCGCCCCTCCTCCAATCCTAGACAGTGCAGCTCGCAGGTCTGACAGCGACCTCCTCCTTCTGCTTGAGGAGAGGAAGGAGGAAAGAGGATTTTGTCTTGCATCTTGGATACTAGCTCACAGTAGGAGCGGGCACTGGTCAGAGTCATGAGATCCCCATTTCAGGTCCCAGCTTTGGGATAACATCTCTAGACAAACTCTGGGCCAGAAGGGAACCTGCTGCCTTGAAGGGAAGGACTCAGTAATGGCAGGATTCGTCACTATCTGACGAAAGAGCCCTTGGGCCTTGAATAATCAGCAGAGGTAATCAGGTAGTACATGCCATGGGCCTCAAGTGAGACTCAGATGTGCTGGCATCAGGTGTCACCCAGCACATTCCCAGCTGTGGTGGCTGTGAGGAGAGACTCCCCTGCTTGAGAAAAGCCAAAGGCAGACTAAAGAGGATTTTTCTGGAGCTTAGACACCAGCTCAACTACAGTGGAGAAGAGCACCCCGTGGGCTGTTGGAGTCCCTGATTCAGGCCTTGGCTCTTAGATGGCATCTCTGGACTTAGCCTGGGCCAGAGGGGAGCCCACTGTTGTGAAGAGTGAGTTCCAGGCCAGGCAGCATTCGCCACAAGCTGACTGAGAGCCCTCAGGCATTAAGTGAACATCAGTGGTGAGCTGGCGGTAATCCACACAGGACTGTGATGACGTCGTACATGGGAAAAGACTGTCCTGCCTGGGGAAAGGGGAGGGGACAGTGGGCAGTGATTTGCTGGGTGGATTCAGTGCTAGCTCAGCCAGGGTAGAACAGAACACCAGGTAGATTTCTAAGGTTTATGACTCCAGCCCTGGCTTCCAGACAGCACCTTTGAACGCATCTAGGGACCAGGGGAGTGTACTGCACTGAAGGGAAGGACAGAAGCCTGGCTGGCTTCACTACCTGCTAGTTGGAGAGCCATGGGGCCTTGCCTGAAACAGGTGGCAGCTGGGTTGTTGTTACAGTGGGGGTCTTGGGCAGTCACAGTGCTGTGCCGGCTTCAGGTCTGACCCAGTGCTGTCCCAGTGGCCACAGCGGTGCTTGTATTGCTCCTGTCCCAACTCCAGGCAGCCTAGCACAAAGAGAGAGAAACTTCATTTGCTGGAAAGGAAGGGAAGAAGTGAGTCTCTGTCTGCTAATCCAGACAATTCCTCCAGGTCTGATCCAAGACTGCCAATGTGCTAAAAACAAACAAAACTGGAGGAATCACATTATCTTATTTCAAATTATACTCTACAGCTATAGTAACCAGAACAGCATGGCAGTGGCATTAAAAATAGACACATAGACCAATGGAACAGAATAGAAAACCCAGAAACCAATTCATACATCTGCAGTGAACTCATTTTCAACAAAGGTGCTGAGAACATACAATGGGGAAATGACAGTCTTGTCAATAAGTGGTGCTGGGAAAACTGGATATCCATATGCAGAAAAATGAAACTAGGCCTCTATTTCTCATCTTATGCAAAAATAAAATCAAAGTGGATTAAATATTTAAATCTCAGCTGGGTGCAGAGGCTCACACCTGTAATCCAAGCACTTTGGGAGGCTGAGAAAGGAGGATTGCTTGAGCCCAGAAGTTCAAGACCAGCCTGGGCAATGCAATGAGATTTTGTCTCTATTTCTTAAAAATTTTTTTTAAAAAAATATTTAAATCAAAGACCTCAAATATAAAACTAAAATAAAACATTGAGAAAACTCTCCAGGATATTGGACTGGGCAAATATTTCTTGAATAATATTTTATAAGCACAGGCAACCAAAGCAAAAATGGGCAAATTTGGTCACATCAAGTTAAAAAACTTCTGCACAGCAAAAGAAACAATCAGCAAAGTGAAGAGACAACCCATAGAATGGGGGAAGATATTTGAAAACTATCTACAAGGGATTAATTACCAGAATAGTTAAGAAGCTTAAATAACTCAATAGAAAAAAATCTAATCATCTGATTTTTAAAATGGGCAAAATATCTGAATATACACTTCTCAAAAGAAGACACAGTTCTCAAAAGAAGGCATGGGGGCACGTGCCTGTAGTTTCAGCTGTTTGTGAGAATTACGTGCAAACATTACTTGATCCCAGGAGGTTGAGGCTGCAGTGAGCTGTGCTTGTGCCACTGCACTCCAACCTAAGTGATAAAGTGAGACCCTGTTTCAAAAATAAAAAAGGCATACAAATGACAAATAGGTATATGAACAGATACTCAACATCAACATTATTGATTGTCAGAGAAATGCAAATCAAAATTACAATGAGGGATCATCTCACCCCACTTAAAATGGCTTTTATTCAAAAGACAGGCAATAGCAAATGCCGGTGAGGATGTGGAGAAAAGGTAACCCTCGTACACTGTTAGTAGGAATGTAATTTAGTACAACCACTGTAGAGAACAGTTTGGAGGTCCTCAAAACTAAAAATAGAGCTACCATATGATCCAGCAATCCCACTGCTGGGTATATACCTAAGAGAAAGGAAATCAGCATTATCAAAGAGATACTTACATTCTCATGGATATTGCACTAGTGTTCACAACAGCCAAGATTTGGAACATCCCGAGTGTCCATCAACAGATGAATAGCCAAAGAAAATGTACATACACACAATGGAGCACTTACTATCCAACCGTAAAAGAGAATGAGATCCTGCTATTTGCAGCAACATGGATGGAAATGTTAAGGGAAATAAGCGAAGAAAGAAAGACAAACTTCACATGTTCTCACTTACTTGTGGGAGCTAAAGTAGAAGAATTGTTAGCAGAAGCTAGTAAAGGTAATATGGGCGATGGGGGGATAAGGAGTAATGGTTAATAGGCACACACACATAGTTAGAAAGAATAAATAAGATCTAGTATTTGATAGCACAACAGGGTGACTACTGTCAATAATTATTTAATCGTACATTTTACAGTACCTAAAATAGTATAATTGAACTATCTGTAAAACAAAGGATAAATGCTTGAGGTGTGATGGATACTTTATTTACCCTACAGTGACACATTGTAGGCCTGTATCAAAATACTTTATATACCCCATAAGTATATATGCCTACAATGTACCCAAAAATTTTTTAGAAGACAGTCATTCAGAATTACCACACTGTGTATTTACAACGGAAGCAAGGCTTCTTGTGACTAAGAAGAGACTAGTGACGGTTGGTTGCTGTTGAAATGGCTGCTAAATTACCACTTTGCTAATAGTATATAAACTGAGTTGTCATGGTGATACTGCTAATAGCCATTTTAGCAAAGAACATAACAGCAAATGAATTTGAAACAAATAGAAGTACTTTGAAAGTTGCAGAAGCTAACATGCTTTTAATCACTACAGTTGTCATCAGTCTATAAACCGGTTTCTTGAAGGAAGCAAAATTCATAATTATGAACATGTAGCTCACTATAATGGCAGCTAAATTGTTCTAAAAACCTGCAACTAATCTGGCAGCGGGGGGTGACTCTAGCTCTAGTTACAAGGTCAGAAAATACACAGGGAAATGTGCAGGTTTCCATAGATGTGAGCTCCAGAAGCAGTGGTGGCAGAGGCCAGCTCCAAGACAGCCAGTTCTACACAATGCTGTTTGTGAACGCAGAAGCACCAGGAGCTATGCTCTGAACAGGAGCAATGTTCATGATCTTTGGAAATTGAAAAGTATTACAACAAAGTACTTAACGTACATTTATCTTGTCCCTCTGCTGTTGGTTATTTATAATGGTCTCTTTTTGACTGTAAATTGAACCATTTAAAAATTAGTGTCTATCAGATTTTTCTTAAAACTTTTTGACATGTATTTGTCTTGTTAGAATATATTTTCTTTCAGGAACGTTACTAATTATCAGGGACATGCAACTGAAAACCACAATGTGATATGACCTTGCTCCTGCAGGAATGGCCATAGTTTAAAAATAAAAAAAAAAAATACATGTTGGCATGGATTTGGTGAAAAGGGAACACTTTTACACTGCTGATGGGAATGTGAACTAGTGCAACCACTATGGAAAACAGTGTGGGGATTCTTTAAAGAACTAAAAGTAGAACTGCTGTTCAACCCAGCAATCTCTCACTACTGGGCATCTACCCAAAGGAAAATAAGTCATGAAAAAACACATGCACATGCATGTTGATAGCAGCACAATTTGCAATTGCAAAAATATGGAGCCAGTCTAAGTACCCATCAATGAATGGGGAGCTAAAGAAAATATAGAATATATACACCATGGAATACTGCTGAGCCATAAAATAGAATGAAATAATGGCCTTTGCAGCAACTTGGATGGAGCTGGCGGTCATTATTCAAAGTGAAGTAACTCAGGAATGGAAAACCAAATATCATATGTTCTCACTTATAGGTGGGAGCTAAGCTATGAGGATGCAAAGGCATAAGAATGATATAATGGACTTTGGGGACGTGGGGAGGAAGGTTGGGACGGTGGTGAAGGATAAGATTACATATTGGGTACAGTGTACACTGCTCAGGTGGTAGGTGCACCAGAAGTTCCAAAAGCATCCCTAAAGAACTTATCCATGAACCAAAAACCACCTGTACCTCAAAAACTAAATAAAATTAAAAACCATTATTGGTAAAGAAATATATATATATATATGCATACATACATATACACATACATACACACATACATATTTGTTTATACATAAATATATAAAATGTGTATATATATATTTATATATATATACACACATTTAATTTAAATTGAGCAGCTCCTATTCAGAAAATTTGCTGTGCCTGTAAAGGGTATGCTATTCAGCCATGTAAAAAACAACAGAAAACTGAGAAGATGTATATCCTGTAGGCATAATGGTTTTCTTTGATAACTAAGCCTCTATTAATAAACATGATGATTCTATAAAATACTGTATTTTACACAATTAAAATATGTTTTTGGAAAAACATAAAAGAGATTAAGTGCATATATTCCTATAGTAAATTAAGTCCTGATTAGCTGATTATGAAAACATTATCTGATTTACATTTCTATAGCCTTATGGTTATATGAATAGGAAATTAATGCTGGAAGGAGATTCAGTCAGGTTTTCAGTTAAATGAGAAAACCACATATCTGCTTATGTCTTAACTGCTCTTCATTACCAGAGAACATCAAGCATTTGTTGATGTTAGCCAGTGGATAAAACATTAAAACTTTAAAACCAAGAAACCAAATGTGTTGTTCAGGTATTAATTATTTTTATACAATTAAGTCTTTACAGGAATTACTGTGCAAGTGGTAAGATTACTCTAGTTTATATTTATTTAAACATTAGACAAAGTGCTGGATACAGTGACTCCCATCTGTAATAATAACAGCACTTTGGGACACCAAGGTGGGAGTATCACTTGATCACAGGAGTTTAAGGCCAGCCTGGGCAAAAAGTGAGACCCTGTCTCTGCAAAAAGAATTAAACAACAACAACAAAACAGCCCAGCTCAGTGGCATGAGGCTGTAGTCCCAGCTACTTGAAACGCTTAGGTGAATGGATCACTTGAGCCTGCAAGTTTGAGTCTGCTGTGAGCTAGGATCATGCCACTGCACTTTAGCCTGGGTGACAGAGCAAGACCCTGTCTCTTAAAATTTAAAAAAAAAAATGAGCAAACACCTTTGGCCAGGGCAGCTGAATAATCATGTGGCAGAGGGCTGCTCCCAGCCTGTTCTCTCAGTGCATTCAACTCATCCCGACATTCTCTTCTGACCGGGGTGAGAGATGCTGAACACCTTAGAGTTTCATTTCCAACTCAGGAGAAACATTGTGTGATACGGTTTGGCTGTGTCCCACCCAAACCTCATCTTGAATTTCCACGTGTTATGGGAGGGACCCAGTAGGAAGTAATTGAATGATGGAGGCGGGTCTTTCCCGTGCTGTTCTTGTGATAGCGAGTAAGTCTCATGAGATCTGACAGTATTATAAGGAAGAGTTTCCCTACACAAGCTTCTCTCTTTGCCTGCTGCCATCCACATAAGATGTGACTTGCTCCGTCTTGCCTTCTGCCATGATTTGTGAGGCCTCCCCAGCCATGTGGAACTGTGAGTCCAACAAACCTCTTTCTTTTGTAAACCGTCCTG